TATTGCAGCTTATTAGGGAAATTTACAACGATGATCTCTAAACTTCTATAAGAAAAAAGTAATTCTCATCCTAGTCTTCTAAACCTGAAACAAATCTATTTTATAGATAGCACAATGGAAGCATGAAGAGGTTAAATGTCTATGGTCAGACTGCATACAGCTGACAATATCAAGAGAAAGCACGAGAGTACCAGCTGATGACTGTGACTTCATTCCACAAGTCAAAATGTGACTATGAACTGTTGCTGAAGCGGAGGAACACAATTAAGCATATTCAATCCTTTTCTAAAACAAGCAACCACGCAGCAGGTCTTGCCTAGAGCAGGACCAGTAAGGGAAGACTTCCATCTTGCAGTAGGCCTGTGCTTGGTCAAAATTAGCCAAAAGAAAGTAGGCTTGTGCTATGTTCCTTTTATCTTCACAGCAAGCAGATGGCAGAAACAATTGTATCGTTAGAAGGAAAAAAGTTGTGATTACATTCAAACATCTATCTCCCCAAAAGCCGAAGGGTATTGTTATGCCTTGGGGAATTAACCTTCGCATTTTCACAGAAAAGTGTTCTTATTCCTGACTAAGGTCTTGTTAAGTTCCTGTGGAAATCTGCCTGTTCTTTCTCACAAGGTCTTGAAGTTAATACGTATGTAGATAAGAGCTACTAGGCTGAATCTGTGAAAGTTTCCTGATACACAATCCTGTCATAATCTGCAGACAGTATCTTCGGCCTACTCTAAATAGAAGCACTCTATTTTTTGCCCAGCAACTCTAACCCTGGATGTAGACAATCATTAAACCAACCGGTTCAGACAACCAAATTCACGTTTTCTATTATTAAAGCAGGAGATTAGTCCAGCTAAATCCAAGTTAACTTTGGATAAATCCAAAGTTACTCATCACATTTTTTATTGGTATTTGCCAATAGAAGAGGAAAACAATGGGAATAGATCACACTGTACCAAACAAATGGAAGCTACTGCTCTACATGTCATCAAGAACTTCCCCTGTCAAAAGCATTTAGCAAGTTCTACCCAGAACAATACCTAAAAGGAGATTCCAGTTTTAGGTAATTTGCACAAATTCTTTTCATAACACCTGATAAATACACAAACATTTCCCCTTCCTTGGTCAATCTTTTCCATGCTATATGAGAAATCTATAAAAAAAAAAAAGAAATCTATATCAAAAAAACCAGCATGTAGAGAGGCTACTTTTTCATATGCAGTAAAATAAGTGCACCCAACAGGAAGAAAAAGTCCAAATTACTCATATGCTTCATTTTTGCATGATTATCTTCTACCTGTTCAAGCCTTTGAGTTCAATATTTCATCGTGCATTACTGAAAAAAATTAATCAACTTGCTATTTTCCCATCACTACAAAGTATTGGTAGCTTTAATTGCATTTCTTGGGTATAGTTTCCTGCTTTTCTGTTTGAGGACAATACATGAGACCAAACTCATTTTCCCCTTTGTGCTCACGACTCCCCTTAAAAAAGCTTCAAGCTGCCGTGCACATGCGCAACAGCCGATACTAATCTGGATTCCAGAAAGGTTAGAAGAACACAGCACAGAAAGACAAAGATAATTTGACAAAGTAAGGAAGAGCATTTAGGCCTTGCAATCCTGCCCCACAGTAACAAGGGATTAATTGCTATGGTTAGTTCAAATTGTCTTTAGAACATGATCATGTTTTCATGAAACAAATCCTAACACCCCTGTAAATGCTATATGCTTCTCTAGCACTCCTTTCATTAGCAATGCAGTAAGTCATCTCACAGTTGCACAAGGAGCCTGACACTGTCATGAAGAGGTAGGACTGCTGCACAAAAAGGGAGACCCAAATTAAATTAGATTTAGTATTTCAGGGAACAGCAGCAACAGGTACAAGCTGTGCTGACCTCCACATCCAGTACAAGAGTTTTTCTGTACTTCCCGAGATGGCTGTAATCCATAATGCCACCCGATGCCTATGTGAACAACCTAGATTAAACTACACGTTGGTACCAACATCCATTTCAGCTTATCGTAGACACACTGCAGGGCAGGGTAAAACTAGAAAAGGATGGCCTCAAGCTTCACGCAGGTTTATGGCCAAATCTTCCTGTTTTGGGCTACTTTAAGTTCTCTTAACTCTTAAAAGCCCAGGGTAAATCAACACAGCCATTTTTTAATCAGCCCAGCTGAATTGATTTTGTGCAAAAATTTTTGATACCTCAGCTTGGAAAGAGTTGGGGGGGGGGGTGGAGAGGACTTTTTGCTGGTTTAACAAACTATGGTGATTACAGCTCTCAATGCTAGAAACTAGGCCGTTTAAAGTGAAAACGGTAAGAAGCCTTCATTCTGGCGAGACAGGACTAGCAAATTGCATATAAACTATCTCAAAAGAATCATCTACAAAATGAGGGTCCAGTCTTTAGCAGTGCTATTTCCCTGCTTTATGCATAGGCAATAGAGTGCCACCATCACAGAAATGGTGGGTTATTGTTTTGGCCATGGACAGCAAGAGTTTGTCACTACCCAAGCATGAGAAGATGGAAAACTCTAAGGTACCTTGTAAACCAAAGGAACTCCGTTTAAAAACAGCTATATTACCCGCGTAAGATATTTCCTCACTTTTATCAATCATTTGACATGCATGAACTGTTGGAATAGGTTACAGATTAATTATGAAATCATAAAAAGACTCTTAACCATAATAATTAGCTACACGTTTCATGGAAGAAGTGTCTAGAACTTGGTCACAACGTGCACAGGCAAGGATAGAATGGGCATTTAAACTATATTTTCAATCTTAAATTTACTAGGTATCCAAAATCTGAGATTATCTCAGATTATTGCCCTTATCTATTTCCTCATTTTTCTACTCTTGGGCCTCCAAAAAAGTAGTTACCATAGCCCAACTAGTTGTACCGAAGATTTGTTTCAACTTGCACAGCAAATCCAGCTTTTATTTTGAAACTTTTGAGAAAAGACGGTATCAGACGTATATTTCTAGAAAACAGATGCTACTGTCCCATGAGACAATGTATCAAAAAACCCACACTAGACATTTGCCTTCCAAGCAAGTAATTGTGTATACCTAATTTTATATTCTCAACAGTCAAAATGCTGCTTTACAAATCCAACTTTACAAAAAGATTTTATTGAAAGGATTGAAAAATATTTGTTTTCAACAATATTTAAAACAAGTTTTCAAAGCATTAACAATATGTAACAGGATTTTTCATCTTTTAAAAATTCAGTACACTGCTTTATTCCATACTACATCAGTTGTTAATAACTTCTTAAACTCTCTACTAGAGAATTAATTTAAAAAAAAAAAAGTTATTTCCAAGCTTCCATTTTGGCCCTTTGTAGACTGGAAAGGATTTGTAGGTACACTGACATTTACAAACTCTTATATTAGAAACACTACTCTTAATCAGCAAAAACCTATTTTACTAGTACAGTTTAAACACTGCATCAGCTGCATCAGTAAAATGAGGTTTTATTGCCAATATAACCAAGTCTGCATTACAGCTTTTTTCCTGGTTCAGCTGTGATTTGAGCAGAAGTTACCCACACTTTTAGTAGTTAAATATGCAAAACTTGAGTGCTGTTTAAACCTCACTAGCCTGCTTGTGAATTGCTGGTTTGCAGATTAAAGGCCATGAAAAGGGACTTTGTACAGTTAGATAAATTTGTAATGCATTAACACAATTTGGGTTGTTTTGATATAAAGCAGCTAGTACAATTATAATCAACGCAGCTTTCTGAAGAAAAAGCAAAGGCTAAAGTCAACATGTAACTTACTTTCCTTTAGTCAGTGATTGTAGCTCTCTACTTGGCTGATCAGTGATCCAAATAAGATTGTTATCAAGCAGGAATAGTTGTACAAGCAAAACTGCAGAAGCCTCAAAGCCAGTAATGCAATTGCAGTACGTGATAAATTTAAAGACAACTCCTAATCTAGATCTAATCTAGAGAAAGCAGGTAAATTTTGATTACAGATTTCATGAACTGTGCACTCTGAAAATTAAAGTTCCCCAGTTTAGTCAATAATAGCTTTACTATTATAAAAAGCATAAATAAAAAGTGCTGAATATAGTTTTATCTTTAAAAAAATACTAGATAAGGCTCATTAATCATTTTGCCTCACCTCTGCAAAATGATTTCCACTTCCTAGCGTGCCTAGTATTCTGCTTGTTTTTCACTTAACATTTATATAGCCACTATACCCTGTTCCTTTTCTCAATTATTGCGTGTTTAAATAAAATAGTTTCAAAGCAAAAAATCTGACACTTCTATAGTTCAAAAAGTAAACAGTTATTAAATAACTGAATACTCCACCTAGGAAACCCGTAAGCAGCTTCAAAACAGTGATAAAACAATTACCGCAGATTCGAGTGAAAGATAAATCCCAAAAGCTATCTGGATATTCTCCAAGATATCACAAAATTTGTCTATTTAGACCAAATCAAACCAATATTATATTTTACAAAATTTACAAACTGAGTATTAATTTATATTAACACATTTTCATTGTGATTTGTATCATTAACCAAGACTTTGTGTCTCTTTTATGGAAAAGTGCTCTCACCTGGATTTAATAAAATTAGACAGACTAGGGCAGCATCCAAAATTGAACAGACATTATTTAAACCATCAGAGGACAGCAGGTTAGGCAGAGTTTGGAAATTAATACATTTCCCATTACCACTTTGGACCACATAAACGACGTAAGACAATCATGAAAAGTTCAACAGAGCTTCTCATTCCACATTCAAGGAAATCCCACCTTAATCAGTAAATGAATTCCTCCACAACATTATGCCATAGGCTTAACTTTAACATATAATGTCCATTCCTTTAATGACCAATGCAGCAAGACTTTGAAAATGCTAAAGTTTGGATAGTATGATCATGAGACCGCACCACAGAGAACATAAATGTAAACATTATACTTGGGTTTGATATTTTTCAGTTAAAGTACAGTACAAACCCTTTTTTACCAACTAGGTTTTTTTGTTGGATTTCATTTTTCTTTCATAAAAGCACATACAATAAAATATGTACATAGAGAAGTTAGAAACATTTGAAAGCATCTTAAAAAAGTAAATACGAGACTTAGAATATCTTGAGTGTGCTGAAGGCACCATTGCTACTCTACTGGGAATGTGTCTTCTCATTTATCAGCCTACCAATGCAGTATCCCCTTCTGTATTACTCGGCACCAAGAGTTGGAAGGCATCTATGGAAGTTGAGGGCATTCAGGGCCTAGTATAGGATATTCTTTTTCTTCAAGACAATAGTGGAACTAGACAATATAGTAGTAATTGAAGTCCAGATTCTTCTTGAACACTTGGAGAATTTTTTTTTTTTTACTTTATAGTCTCTAATGCTACCATTTATTCCAGAGAATCAAACAAAAATAATAAGAAACAACAACACATTGATGATTCCCACCAACAGGAACTGCAGAGCTACAAGTAAGCTCAGCTACAAAAATGGAGATCACTGTAATAACCAACTAAGTCCACGCTAATGCTCGCCCATGCTATTTGTGGACATTTACACAGTGATGACAGCCAAGGGTCAAACACTGTTCAAATGGGCATAAGATATATATGTATATTAAAAATATATATACACACACACTTTTTTTTACTAGTTCCATCTATCCATAAAAAACATTCTTCATGGGTGTTACCTTCGCAGTGTGTCACATTCACAAGTAAGGAGAAAGTATTTTAAGCGCTGTCTTGATGGGGACTTCTTTTGGGCAAGACATTTAAGCTAACAAAGAGGAACTTTTTCTTTTTTTTTTTAAAGAAAATTTCTTAGAGCCTTCATATGCATAGCAGTCTTAAATGGAGTTACAAATATACCAAATTAAACACACTATTTCAATGCCACTTTTCTACTGCCACTTTTCTATTATGTATCTACATTCAGCCTACCACGTTATTGGTAAGTTATAGGTTACAATAAAAATCTACAGATGTGGTTGTCAATACCAATCAGAAATAATCCTTTTTCAGAGTGCTCATTTAAAGGAAATTCAAATTGGATTACAACAATTGGAGCCTAATTTCTTCAATTCCTGCTCTTGGTGGACAGGAAGTAGCACAAGCAGATCAGACAGATATAAACTATAATCACTATGTATGTCTGAGATGGTGACCACACTTGTCAGCCAAAAACTTGAGAACCCAAGCATATAGAAGGGATACTGCCACTTTCCATTCCCATGAGTCTTGTTAGATGTAGACACTCAAAATTCTTCTTCTTCAACAGCAAAGTTATTTTGCTTCTTCCGAACATTCCAGTGTAAACACTCAGCCAAGCTTTCAAACCAGTCGCTCACAGGATCTCGGAAACAGATCGAAGGAAGGGGATAGCAAGAGGTAGTGATGCTAATACTGCAACAACACAGGAATACCCCAGTCAGTCAAGGGCAATGAATAGCAATTAAAAAAAAAAATAAATCTTCTATTCACTAGCTAACATAGTGCTACGTTCAGCCAATTTGGTAAAACAGCAAGTTTCCATAATCAAGCAATAACCAAGTCTGCAGGCTCATCTAAACAGAGTGAACACAGGGCTTAAAATTGTTAACAGGTGCACTGTGGACAGCATTCTTTGACACAGTGAGAATACTGAACCACTCCATGACGTCCTGCAGTCTTTTGCTGGTCTTCACCTCAACAACACAGTGACAAAGGAGAACGTAAGTCACCACCTTGGCCTTTAAGTTTCAAGTTTTAACTATAAGCAACAGCACTAAGAAGTCTAGCATCTCACAAAGGGCCAAATCTCACATCTGAATCCTTACTGGTCTCCTGATCTATTCTATAGATCTTTCAACCTCAGAGGAAATACAAACAGTTCAAGACGGAGCATCATGCCAGCTATACATTTTCCTTCTTGGCAACTTGTATGGACCAAGAACAAAAAGAAGTCATCCTGAATAGCAAGTCTACCAGTCACATATCCCACAGTTGCCTTAAATCACCTCCCATTAGGAAAAGCCACCACATTTTGCACATGAAAACTGAGGAAACTTCACACACTGCGTTCTGCTCACTCAAGGCAATAGCATCGCAAGTGACCACAACCATTCACTAAGTTAACACAGTTTAAACCATATGGCACTATTCAGAGCCACTGCTTACATGCAACTCCTCTTGGTTTACATCTTCTCAAACTCCTAAGATTTATCTTTAAGTTAAATGTACAGAATTTTCTAAAGACGTGTCCATCTTCCTTGCCAAGCATGCAATGTTTACATGCTTTTGTCTTAACATTTCACTTGCTTTCGTAGTAAGATCTAAAAAACTCATGTTAGAAACTAAATACTTCTAGCACAGTTTGTGCTGTAAGAGGTGTTAGGGTTTAGAAAAGCTTGTTTCTTCACTGCCAGCAATCCTTTTGACAGATGTTAGAGAATGAGAGAATTACATGAGTCAGTATTTTCTATACTTATAGAGATACTACAATCAAAAAAAGGCTTGACCTGTCTCCATGGCATATTTCCTGCCTCTTCCTTCCATCAAATGAAACCCATGCTGTATTCCTGGCATCCGGAGAGAGCATAATCTGAAAAAGAGAAAAGAATTAAACTTCAGGTCCAAAACCTATTTTTCAAGAGCAAGGAACAAACACCTCCTCCATCCTCCCTCTGAGTACAGGATTGACCCTTCACAACTTTACAGTTGCACTGAAAATTCATAATCTGTCCATAATAACAGTGCAGTAACATACTACACAAGTTCCAAACGTTCATTTCATGTTTGGTATATATACATATATTTTTCTATATGCAATAAACCCCCTCTTTATAAACAGAAGATCATAAACCAGAAAGACCTTCCAGTTACAGCCAGTGCATGCTTTAATTCAGTTACATGAGTTGACTTAGCATCTCTTTCAAGAAAAATAATAAAGTTAATCCAGAACAATAGATTATATACATAATGAATCTACAGCTGCCAAATTTAGGAAGTTTTGCTCATATTGAACATAATTCCTTTTAAGAGAAAAGGATTTACTACTATTGGCCAGTAACACCCACTGACATGAAAGCAATTGTGGACTGACAGCAGCGCCGTGAATAAACATTCGATTTATGTTGTAAAACAAGAACAAAAACCCCAGCACACACTGGGGCTTCTTAATGCTAATCTTCTAACATCCCTAGGAGAGCCCTTCTTAAACATACTAGCTCTCTTCCAACTTAAGTAGACTGCAGGCTTGTAACAGGTAGAAGAAGCAGAAAGGGTTCTTCCTTACACATGGGTATTTATTAAAAATACACATTAACTAAGTCCATTTTATATTCGGGTATTGCATACCTTTTTTTCTGCAAGAGAGCATGAACAAAAAATAATCAGTGAATTGCAGATAACTCTACCAATATACTCAACATCTGCAATATTTGTTGTTTTAGCCATGAAAGTAGAATTTTTCATTCCCTTAAACACAACTGATTTACCTGCACTTTAGCAGAAATTATGTAAAATTTTATTAGTCAGAATGCAAATGTATGTATTCCCATTTTACAGAACGTTACACAACTACAATCCAGCAGGAAGCAGTGTAAAGCGTTCTGCTAGTGGGTGTATTATTTTAAACAAAGATGCATTCTTCAACCAGACATGATTTGGTCCTCCTACAAATGAAAGAATGCAGGAGATACCAAAGCAGAAGAGGTTAGGAAATGCTGTGTTCAGGTTCACATGGTTATTACAAAAGTTTTTAACTCAGAAAAAGAAATAACGTAACAGAAGCTAACCTTGAGTTCCACTCCAGCAGGAACAACAATAGGTCTGAAAGACAATGAGTGAGGGCAGATTGGGGTGATCATTATTGCAGGAACATTTGGATGAATCATAGAAGCTCCTGCTGCAGCTGCATATGCAGTGCTACCAGTCGGCGTGGAGACAATGACTCCTGTGAAAGCAGCAAAAATTTCACTTACATTAGCATTACAATCAATGTGTTATTTTGGAAGACGACTAAGAAATAGCACTGTTATGAAAATGAAGCAGAGAATGTATCAACTTGTATTTCACAGGAGAATTGCAGTCTAATACACAAAAAGTCAGAAACTCTCTTCTAATCCTGGCACAGCACGTTTGTTCTATGGCCTCATGTAAGTTGCATAAACTTCTAGATCTCGGGTTACAAAACTTTGTAACAGTGACATTCTTTTTTTTTTCCAAGGGTAAGAGCTTTAAAGATGAACTTCTGTATTTCATGAGTTGAGATCTTAGGCCTTCAGCAAATTCCAGATATTTAAGCAAATTTTTTCTGAGCTATTTCTTGCCCTTCACCCTAACACATCATACCCAAAGAAACTGTCACTTGCCTTCACAAGTCCATAAACAAAGCTTACAACACTTTAATGCTTTGTTGTGGAACGCATTAGTTACCAATGAAAAAACATACCTATTCTTTACACACTAATGCTTTCTGTCACCAGTGAACTGAAGTTGAGATTTTGTTTCCATGCGAGAAAATCCTCCGGTAAAAGAGCAACTGTCTACACACGAACTGATAAGCAATTTAACTCAAGAAGTAGACTCACCATCTCCTTGCACTGTTGTTATAAGGTGTCCATTTAGAAAGACATCTACATTGGAAAGGTAAGAAGAAGGACCACGATCCACTACAACTTCATTTAGGACCTGCCATGACATGAAATATTACACCGGTCTGCTCTTGCTGACTTGGCAATGTAATAAATGACAAGCCAAAACTTGCTTTCCAGATGTTTGAAAAATTCATGCTGATTTAGTACCTGCCAAATTAGACTCTCTTTACACTTCTGTCTTATCAAGTGCCAGCTGAAGTTTTCTGATGTTAAGAATTATTTCCAGAAGCTAGTTACTAACAATGTGCAGGGTTTTTCTTCTCACTTATAAATATCTTTGGGATATGCCATTTTAGAACTACTACTTTATTTTCAGAATAGAAGGAAAAATATTACTACAGGAAAGTACAATATTAGCACTTAGGATTGCAGGAAGTAATGAGGTATACCACTTCCTCATTATTTAGTGCACATATTGCGAATTAGAGCAATATGGATCTGTCCCACACTACTGGGCTAATGTAAGTAAACTAATGAAAAGGGGAAAGTTATAATAAAACAAGTACAAAGCAATTTACAAACAGCATATTAGTTCTTTTGCTTATTTTGCCCTCTGACCTGATATTGCATAATTTGCTTGCCCACTTCTTTCTCTATATTTGTAGACACTACTCCATTTTCTTCTATACCATTTTGTACTGTCATTTTCTCTCTGTGCTCTTTTACCACTTTCACTTTCAGCCTGCTTCGTAGAACAAGTGCTGCATTGCCTAGAAGTGAAATATAGGAGAAAGTACACAAAAATGATATGCTAGTATAGTAAATAAAATGCTGTCATTACTAGCAAACTGTATGAAGTGCCATCCACCTATTGCCCGTGCTTTCAACATTCCCAATTTCATTCACAAGTTAATTGTCTACATTTGGTTAAAGCTCAAAACTAATTTTTAGTAGTAATGAGCAAAATTAAAGTCAAATTTGAACCCAGTCCTTCCTCCCTTTCCTCATCATGTAAAAAGAAAATTTAAGTTTTATATGGACATGATCAAGATTGGAAAACAGTTAGGCTCATGTCATCTTCACTAAGACAAAAGCTAAGCTTAAAGAAAATCAGTGCATTAGAAACACCTATTAAAAGACAACATTCTAGCAACGTGAGAATTTTATACATCTTTTCAGGAATCTACTTAGGATGCAACTCAAATAACCTCATATTGAAGAAACAAAGTATTTCTTTCCTCAAATATTTTATTTGCCTGACTTCTCAGTATTTAAGCACTGCACTGCTCAGAGAAACAGACTACCACAGACTTCAGAGCTACACTCTGTATGTTTAGCTGTCATTTAACATATATTCTGCATCATCTTTTACTTGTTTACTCCACACAGGACAAAGTTATTTCTTAGCCATTTTCCTTTACAGAATAGTATGGAAAGCAGCACTGAATGGGTCAATGCAATGCAATACTTCTGTTAGTTTAGTATACATTTCTTGTGACTCAATCTTATGGGACAAACTGAGTTGGTTAAGAAAATTTACTAGTCTTGGAAAAAGCTACAGAAAATGTAACAAAAAGAAACACCACACCTTGTCCCCTTAAATTTACCTTCTATAACCTGAGTGACTTGGGACTGAAAATTCTCAAAATTAAATGGAGTAAGAAATCCAAGGGATCCCAGATGAAAAGCCATAACTGGAGGTACACTACCCTATCAATAAAGAAAAGAATTTAAAAGCTACTGAATAAAAGCAATTCATACTTCAACTAATTGCCTGTAAATATTTTAACTATTGATGTAACTTCAACTGTGCATAATAAAACCAACATATTACGTACATTATTTTCAGAAGGTATAGGGTAAAACAGGCTTGATAAAAAAAGGAATGAACTGCAAAGGACAAATGCCGTTCTCAATAACAAAGGAAAAATAAAACAACCTTCAAATACTTCAAAAAGAAAAGAGGTCTTTAAGTCTATTTCCCATAAAAACCAACCTGGAAAAGCGAAGAAGCATAAAGTAAGGTCCCATCTCCTCCCAGGCATATGATAAAGTCTATCTGATTGGAGATATCATCATAATCTAGAAGCAACATTGACATACAAGTTTTGAATTAAGTTTTATCAACAGACTTAATTTCCTAACATAAATTAAGTGCAGCATGCCAACATTCACTCACAAATATAAAAAACCACAACTAAGATCTAACAACAGCTGTTTGCAAAAGACACATTTGTTCAAACTTGACCGAGTGACTAAGGAAATACCAAGACAAGTGAGCAATATACTTCAACTTTACTTTCAAGAAATTACCATACCTTCTCTGAAGGTGCAAAATTTCTTCTTCACTGGTCCAAAATTATCATCATTAGCTATAGCAGGGTCTTCCAATACTTTTTTTTCTACATACACGATCATATTTTTCTCCTTAAGAGATGTAAGATAAGCTTGTTAATACCTCTTGAAATGACAAAATATTTTACTCTCCCCATCATTTGCAGTAGTTTAAAACACACAAATAATATTTTACAGAAGTGGTCTGCATCTGTAGATGCAGGTTGTGGGATTTATTTTTAACGTGTGGTCTAATTCTAATGAGAATTTTGCAGCATGTACAGACCATCTAATAAATTAAACTAAACTTTGGACTATAGATTACATGATACAGTAGCATTGCTATGTTTGCTCAAGGCTAAAGGATTAAGCTTTTTATATCCCATTCCCTGTAATTTAGAACTGCAAACAGAATGAAGGAAAGTTTTGACTTTGCTTTTTTTTTTATTTTTTTTAAAGCTCTGTACTTAGAGTACTTAAGGACTGATCTTAAGCTCTGAAGCAAGTTTTACTACCTTGAGTGGCAATGGGTATAACGATTTGTTTGCACTATACAATTTTGCACATTCCACATTCAACAGAACCAGTAATTGAAAACAGTTTAGATGTAAAATTTTTAATTATGGTAAAAAATGGAATTTACATTTTATTACCTCAGTAAGATACACACAAAGTTCTTTGAAAGGCTGCAGCAGACTGGCATCACGTATCTTTTTAATAACAAGGACGCTCTTGGGAGGTTTGTTCCATGTCAACCGCTGGCTTGCTGGATCCTGAATGTGCCTAGAGAATAGAAAAAAAAAGACAATGTTACTACATTTTGCTTTGACAACATTCTGGTCAGTTAAGAATATATCCTTAATTATAACTGCAAGCAGTCCTAGAACAATAGAAAGAAGGATGCAATGGTTCATATTGTAATGATGCTTTTTCCCCCATTAAACCAATCAATGCTTTACTATGTTAAGATGGTAACACAGTATTAAGGTGTCCAATTCTTGTAACTGCTACTGAGCTAATAACGTGTAAACAGAGACTTCAGCAGAAGCACTACAAAAGCTACTGGATCAAGGTCTTGAACTAACTGACATCTTCCCTGATGCTTCCAGCCGTAATGCTTTCCTCTATCTTCTCTTAGTGCTCTCTCCTCTTAAGCAGACTCAAAATAAGGAGAAACACCCAACTGGAGAATCAGAGAAAGCTACAACATAAACTTTTTTCCCATCCAATACTGTAAGTCAAACAGCTTAAGTCAATGTAAATTTAAAAAATAATGCAATAGCCAACCCAAATATTCGTTTTTCTTTTTAGCAATGTTTCCTTCAGCACTTTTTCACTGATACCAGTATACAGTCACAGTTTTCTCAATACGGTTTGAAGCCTGTAGATGCAGACACAAATTCTACAGTTTTTTTTACTAATACTAAACAACACTATCACAAAAGAAGGGCAAATAATTAAGATTCACATGGTCAACTGTACTAAATCCTCAAGATAAGCCTTAACAACTATGAAAAAACTATAGTACATAAACTCTATTCTGGGAAGTCTGCATTTGCAATTCATATTTCCTATCATAAAGCCTCATAAATAAAGGGCTTAAACAGGAACAGATGCCTGTATACTTAAATTCCAGGCAAACATTACAGATATGTAAGCATACGTAACTTTTGTGCAAAATTTCTTTAAAACTCTATATATTAATTTTATTTTAGTGTTGATCCCAAAACAAGTTTATCTGCTTAAAGTAGCACAACTACTAATTAAAAAAAACAACCCAAAACAAAAACAAACCACCTTTAAAAAGTATTTTAAAACTACTGTCTGCCTATTGTCAGGACAGCCTTCTAAGACTTGAGAACCTCAAGAACTAAATATAGGCACACAAATAATTTTGCAGCTTTCAAGAGGGTTCAGTAACAGAACCCTCATGCTGCTCTATAATACATTTAGTTGATTTAGGAATACCCAGCTGTATTTTCCTTCTTCATTTATATCTATTTCTAAGCTACATAATTTCACAGTTGTATTTCACATATTACAAGCATCCCATCCTTTTCCATACAGTGCAGATATAATCCATAAAGCAAAGCAGATTAGCATAAATGCTGAACAAGCCAAATTTACAGATATTTGGATTTAGCACTTCAAGGGTTAAAATAAAACAGATGATGATGCTGGAGGTGGAATAACCTGCTCATTTTACTTTCCAAAATGCCTATATTCTACATATAAATACAGCAGAAACTACAGATTAATGAAGTAGTCTAATACCAATAACCTTTACTAACAAACAGTGCTGTCTGTCCCTCTAAATATTATTACATAACACAGAAGAATACAAATATGCAGTTACACTCAGTGTCACATACAGGCTTTCAACATGATGTTATGTTTCACCTCACTGTATCTTAGAGTCAAGGAATCAGAGTAGTGGAGGTTGGAAGGCACCTCTGGAGATAGCCTAGTCCAATACCCTGGCTCAGTGTAAGGGTCTTTTGAAGATACCATACTCAGTCTCAAATATCGCCATGAATCTGAGATGACTATGAATTTGGAAGGCTTCTTCTGACTTGACTAACCAACCAATAGCTAAACTGAAAATAAAGTAAAATAAAATAAGAAGAGTTGCATTAATGTGTTTATTGCTGCTAGACAGTTGCAAAGGAACTGACGCTGAAGTTTTATATGCCATTTCCAATACAAATGGTGACTAAGGAAGCTTTTTCAATACTAAAGTTCATTTCATAAAATTAAATTCCTCAAATCTCAATACTGTTAAAAGGTAAAAAATACACATAGAGAAATCACCCCCAAAACCATTTCAAGATGATTAGGCTATCTTCTAAAACTGGCAAAGAACTAAAGTTTGCAGCACTGCTTTTCACTTAATAAACTTAGAACTAATACAGACTTCATTCAAACGAAAGACAGCCTGCCTATTTCAACTGTACTCACCAATTCCATGTAGTTCTACCAAATGAAAGATTATTCATAACATGCTTTAAGATCTTCATGTTTCTTTCCAGGAGTGAGGCAAATGCAACGCTCCAGAAAAAAAAAAGTCTGAGGCTTTTATCACTTATTAATAACCTGCTACCTCAAAAGAAAACATTTTTTTTTCTGAAAAAAATTTTTCCCCAGTTAAGTATTTCAATCAGTCCCAATAAAAAGTTCTGAGGCTTTACAGAAAAATCCTGTATAAATCGTTTATTACAGATCTTCAGAGGCAAGATTTCATAAGAAAAATCCCATTTCAAGAAAGAGTTTAAAAGCAGGTATTTGACCTCCCCTCTCCTCAACAACACAAGCACCTGATCCTTTTTTCACTGAATAATCATTCAATTCACCTGGTCATCTTACCTAACAGTCTTGGGAAAGCAGGTTTTTCCTGCAATCATCAACACTAGCACTTAAAGAGACACCAAGACCTTCACTAACTTATGCCCACACATAAAAGCTAAAATTTTCTGTTAAAAAATTCTCTACAGTGAAGAGAGGTTAACAATATTACTGACTGTAGAGAAGAAAAACCCAAACAAAAAGGTTTTGCTTGTTTTTAGAAGCCACAACAAAAACCTTACGTATAGTAAGAATAGTAATTTACAATTTGGTCTTCAAATAGTCCCTTCCTTCAACCCCAAGAGCAGCCTTTTCTCCCCAGCTATTCTGAACACTGCATAAGCAGTCTTTTCCCCGGCAAGTAGTGCGCGTTTAGTATTGCCTGCAGCCTCTGTACTCAACTGAGCTTGACACTGCTGTTATATTGTACCATGCTGGGCCAGCCCACGGGGAGGAGCATGTTCATCACAAGTCAGGTGCGTAAACATACAACGCAAGCTGGGTTTTCAGGGGAACTGCAGCACTCCAAGCCACCAACTTTACAACAGACAGAAAGAATGAGGAAGCTAAGAGTTACTGTACACTGCAAGATTTCCGCCCCACCTTTGTAGGAAAAGTTAGGATATCACCAACCTGTTTTGAGGAAGACTACTACTATTTAGGTAAAGATTTAGGTAAATAAATACTTAATTCAAATACCTTACGTTTAACTGAAAGAACAATGAAATAAATTTTTTTAAAAGGACAAAAATAGGAACCACTAACTTGGTTAATCTGTAGAACCCTAACATTCCTCGTTTGACAAAGCTGAAACACCATTTAGTAAGTATATAATACATGGTGTAAAAAGCAACACTTTTATACCACCCAACCTACAAAATAAAAATGTTTATACACCTGCTAAGCAGAAACCAACCCTTATTTTCACATTAAATTTATCAGCAGGGTCTAAAAGCACACTTGCCTTCATGATATTCATACACTGAAAGTGCCGTAGGTCAAATACAAAAATTCAAACTACTAGCTCAAACACATAATGCCAAGAGAGGGAGCAGGCTTTCCTCAGATTTCACAGTACACAGAACAATTTCTCCTCTTCTCCTTGTGTTGTCTGTAAAAATTTTTCTTCCTCTATCATTCAGAAACACTGCTTTTTATGTATTTCAAGTTGACGGAATAAACAAAATGCTACCAATAGCTTCTCCGTATCATAAATAGATTGCTATAAGGGTGTTTAATGCACGTGGTGAGTTTATTGTCAATTATGTTGGAAAGTGTTTATTATAGTTGCCTTTGTTGACATCAAACTATGGATTGCAGATTATGCAAAATATGTCTAAACAAAACTTCAGTACTTAATACTATTCACGTGCCCTGCCGTATTTTTATGTGAAATGGTTACATTTTTTTTCCAAAATAGATATACTGAGCTGTGAGAAAACTCCCATTAGTTTAGGTAGTAGATAGTGGGCCTAAGAACACCACATGAACTAGTAATGTAAAACCAGTAAAATTCATTTCCTTTTATGTCTGTTACCCTGCAGGAAGTATTCCTGCAAAACCACTATAAATCCATACACAGAAACACCGATTATGTCCTATCATCCCTTGGGTGAAAAAAACCCCAATGACATTCAAACCCATATTATACTTTTCAACATGCAGATCAAGCTAAGGCACATCTAATGGGGTTTTACTTGAGAATACAGTTGAGCAGTGCTATCCGTTATCCTCTCAGACTGACTTTTTAAATGGCCAATGTATGATAAAAATGGCAGGCCAATTTTGGCAATGCAGACCCCAAGCTGGCAATCAAGCACCACGAAAATCTCTAAATATTAGGTACAAGCAATGCTGATAAGGGGATGAATAGTGGAAAAGCAAACTTATCTTCTTTCACATAGAATAAGCATACCACCATTTGTTTGACAAGTACTTACATAATTGTTTTAGGATTTTGCAGCATACAGGCCTTTGGTCCAAATGTGGTCACTGGGCATGGTCCATGCAAGGAGCGTGTTCTCCTAAATATATATATATAAAAAAAAATAATCAGTAAGCAAAAGAAATGTGATGACAAACTGGGTATAATTAGCTCCCCAACCACCAAAACCACTTTGAAAAATTTGCACTACGCAATTCAGGGCAAAGTATATTTCTTAAACCTACATTTGTGGTTGACCAGCCAATGTAATTTTACACGTATTAGCTCTCACACTTCAAATCTAAAACTTAACTCCTGTACCTACTCCTTGAAAGCGATTTTAGTTGAAGCCTCACTCACAGTTTATCCTCTCCACATACTGAGTAATCAATTCCTAAATATTAGTACCAGGCATATATTCTTCTTGTATTCATTTCATCTTCACTTTGCACAAAGGAAGCATCACAGCCTCAAAGAAGATATGGTCAAGTTTTCTCAGGTTGGTTCTGTGAATTCATGTCAAGCCTGCAAAGATTCTATTTAGTCTCGACTCTTCTGGACACTACAATACAGAACAGTGCATGTCTCTCTCAGAGAGTCCAAAAAAATGTGTAGATAAATCCCAAATTATAAAAACATAATCCACTTTCAAGGTCTCACTACCGTGAAAAGGAAAAGTCCTATGTTTAAGAAACAAAGCACAGATAATTCCTGTTTCAGAATTAGCTACGTAATTCTTAAAACACCTCTTTATTTTTTTTTAGCTAGAGTAAGAAGGAACATAAATAACTAAAGGACACATTTTTCAACTCCTCAATTCGTTGTAATCCTAAATAATAGCCAATATGATAGCATAAACAAGTATTTAACACTGAATACTCAACCAGGTACTTGAGTAGTAGTTGACTGAACATTTCAGATTTTGTAGGAAGTTATTAAATAACACCGAGAAATTATCAAGTGAGACACTTGTGGCAACATTCAAAAGAAACTCAAAATATCTCTGTAATAACACTAGCTGAGCAAAAGAGCAGCAGGTTCAGTTTTTGTTATGTAATTCAGTAGTCTCACAACCTTCACTTAGCAAGTGTGCCTAATCAATTAATTAAAATACAAAACATAAGCCAGGGCTTTTGTTTATATAGTATAAGCACTTTCTCTTCCGTAATATTTTGGCATTCATTAATTTCTGTTGACAACAATCAAGCAAACAACTAAGCATACAGACAAAAACAATAAGCCCAAGACTGTTGTTTTCAGGCCATGTTCTCAGCAAAAAAAACAAACCACCTACAATGATTGTTAGTTGTGTGTCATTAGTGTGTATAAGGATTAGTCTGCATCGATTCCTAAGTGACATCAGCTTCACTGCTGCAGACACAATAGCCACGACACTTTCTTTTCTGTATTTCTTGAAGCACTACATCTTATCTAAGAGCACACAATTTTAGAACAGGACATTCAGAATGATTAAACCTGGTATAAATACACATGAAATAGCTTAATGAGTGCTCTTCATCTCAATAAGGCTCAGTAACGCATATAGATTAGGCTTCCCAGTGTAAGTCTTGACAAGCATTTACATGAAATCGCCAACACTGAGGCAATACGTTCAGATTTTTTTGCCATGGTCAAGTCACAGTAATGGTGTCCCAATCATTTAAACACTTCTTTGGTTGGTTAAATCTTTGCACTTAATATATCAATAAAATGCAAATCCTTCAATTCTAAGGTATATGGAGATATATAGCTGCAGGTACCAGGCCTTAGTTAATTTTATTACATACTAGGTTAGGTCTCCTTAGTTTTTTATTTTGTTTCCCCGCCCGCCCCCATTAGCCACATTTGCCTTTTACAGATTACATTAAAACAGTTCCCTTTTTTTCCATCAGCCACAAACAGATAGAATCTAGGATTTTGACTTTGCTAAAATAGGCTATTTAAGCAAGAGCCTTCACTAACCAAAAACATTTTTTCTAGGTATTAAGGTAATACAGAAATTTACAAACAAGAAATCAATCACTATTGACTGAAATCACCGAAGACTGAAAAATTTCTGTTTTTACTGCTGAGAAAGATTGGGGCAATAATTCAGTCATTTAAGATGAGGAGTAGCTATTAGGTTAATTTAATCTCTTAGAAGATGCACAGAAGACATCCCGGGCTGAGATTAAGGCAGGTAGAGACAACCAAGATGTAGAACAAATGCTATTTGAATAGGTAGAAAAAAATGCTAATTTTTTCCATTTATTTATCTAGTAAGAGCTAATATGATCTTTGTCTTCAAATAAACAGGAGTTCTGCAATGTCATTTATCCTCAAACTTAAATCCCACCCAGAACACAGGATTACTCCTAGCTCTAGGATGAGATTATCTAGACCAAGTCAGAACTGTTCCTTCCTTCCCACCTCCTTCAGCAAATCTGTAAACGGGAGTAAAACTTACTCAAGTCATGTAACTCTTGAAACATTATGTAAATGCTATTAGAATTATTCCATTAAAAAGAACAGGAAATATGTGTTTCCTGTGCTTAATTCAATTAAACACAGGAACTGGTAACTAATCTATTGCTTGGCGGTAACAAATCATTACTGCACTGCCTTTTATTATAAAGTAGCTCAGACCAGCCTAATGATTCACTCAATATTAAAAAACGCCCTCAGAAATCTAATAAAAATCAAAACCAGATGACGGGTTAAAAAGATATAATTAAGGAATAACAGCAACATCCTATTTGTTTCATGTCTAAGAAAATATGCGTGTGTAAGATTTTAATGCCAATAATGAAAACAAGTATTTAATTTCCTACATTGAACACAGAGAAGTGATACTTGTTTTTCAAATAATTTTTTCCATTTATAAGTCCAGGCATGACCAATCCAGTCAGATAAGATTATTACTAAATGTTTTATAAAGTTTACTTATTTATATTGAAACAGAAAAATGAGCAAGGACTGAGTCCTTAGCCAATCACACTAAGAGATTAATGTGTGTACCAATATGTGTAAAGGACAGGTCGTTATTCCATGCCACTCCCAATAATTGGCTAAGCTCTGTTGCTACAAGAGGCATTAAATATCCACATCTGACCTTCACGACATTCGAAGTTTTCTCTACAAGCTCTAATTAATAATCGGTATACATTTTGGTTGAGATTTTACCTGGTTTTATTAGTATTCAATCTATGCACTATTCATTCTACAGAAGGTAAAACGTTTGAGCCAACAGAATTTAAAGTTGTTTGTAGCAAGACTGTCTTTGCTAAGAATGAGCAGCAGTGCACTGGAAATTATACATCTTTTAGGAAAATGTACTTGCCAGTTCAAAGCAGATAGACAGCTACTTCACTCTGAATACTATATAGCAAGCCTGAGATCACTTTCTGACATTCTGCAAAATGCCTTGTGACAATTTTGCACTAAATTGAAAACAGCCAGCGAATGAAGGCAGAGAAACTTAATGAAAAAAAAAAAAATCTCATAAACAGTAACCCTAATTCAAACCCATAATGGGTAGGGTCTACAAAGATCACTTCTAGTTTAAAAATGAAAAAGTAGTTATTTAGCTAGAAGATAACAATACACAAAAATTTAGACCACATTGTCTTTTACACAGGTTAACTGAAGTCTACATTCTTATATCTTTAAGTGGAGAAGGGAAAAAACACCAGTTTTACAGCATGCTTTTAACGTAAAGTCTTACGTATTGACTATGACACACAACATAGAAGCTAGAACGGTACGATCAGAGCACAGTCCTTTGTGAACGTTTTCCAAAAGCATTAAAGTACACTGACTTTCTGAACCACATATGCAAAGCAAGTATTTTCCTAACCTTTTAGCCTCTTCAGTTAAAGGCTTTTATTATGCCTCCCTTCACCATAAAGCTTCCCCCTGCGATCTTCAGCCTCACCCATATATGCTCTGCCTTGCAAAAGCATTCCTACCAGCAAAGCAGTAACTCTGGACGATAATTTCAGCTGTTGAGAAACTCCTCCATGATTCTGTCCGTGCTTTTATAGAGGGTCACAATGTAAGTAAGGTGAAGTTCTGCTATGCTTCCCACAAGTTCAAGACACACTGCTACCACAGCATGCTATTCAATATTTGCAATGGGTCCAAAGATCACAAAATCAAAAGTTCTATCTAGGCCGTCCACATGACAAGAGCCTTGCAACTAGATCAGAAATTTGGCTCAAAAGAAAAAATGGGCGTTTCTCACTGCTATGAAACAACCTGCAAGCACAAACTTACTTTGTGCTGCCTCACGTTACCATATAACCTAAATACTCATACAGGTTTTTAATACACAGCACTAGAGCTCTAGCTACAGCATTTGTAAAAATTTGCAGAAGTATCTCTGCTGTTGATTGATTCTTTTTTGAGACTATGAACTCTGCAGATACCTGTTTTGACAGCCATACCATTTTGATTACAGGCCTGCTCTTAGTCTACGCCCCACCTTTAACTTCCTGCCTTCATTTTGGACTAACAACCTTTTGAAGTGCATTTTAAGAATCCCTTAAAAGCAACTTGTTGAGCAAGAGGTAAAGTTCTGCCTACTAATTAAAGATCTGGAACCAAGCACAAAACTGTTCCTTTCTTGTGACCTGAACCACTATCAAGCTATGAATTAACGTAGCTCAGTACAGATGCATTTGCATTTTATATCTGGAAGGTACTTAAAACTGCTGAAGCTAGGTTGAAATATGACAAATATCATAGTATTCAAAGTTCAAATCTACTCCAAAACCCTGGAAGTCAAGTACTTGGGCACAATGTGTTCCTAAAATTTGAAAATTTATATTTTGTGTTTATCTGCTTATAAACAATAACCTCCTAAGCTTTTATACTTCAAGAACTTATCCTAGCTGGAAATATACCCATACTTTCTTAACTAACTTTCTTACTAAGAAATAATTTCACTACATGACACTACAGATAGAAGTTTTATATGCAGTTTGTCTTCAAAAAAAAGGATCTATTACATTTCACATAGCCATTTCTAAATGCAAACACCTTCTTGAATCCAGACTCTGACATACACACTTCAGACAGCATTTAAATAGCATATACAAAGCAAATGAGTAATGCGTTGTCTTGCTGAAGCTGTATATGCACATATAGAATGTTGCTGAAGCATCTACAAAAAGCAGTTTAAGATCTCCCAAGAAACACAACCAGCCAGAACCTGTTTAAATGAATACTATGGTTATATAAAAAGAGGAATGGAAATTAAAATCTAGATAATTTTTTTTTTTTCCCATTTTTCTTACAAGTAACAACAATAGGAAGAACCAAGAGCCATACCGGAATTCTTTGGTGCTTCCCAGGGCTGGTGAAGCAGACAAACTTCGTGACTTAGCTCGTCCCCGGCTAGTATTGCTCCACTCCTCATCATCATGACACGTTGAGCAATGGTAAGCAGAATCTGAACTCACATCAGCCTTACTGGTACACAGTTTTTCTCGATTCATCTCCATACTGGAAGTGAAGGAACCTCAGCGAGAGAGAAATTCAATTCCTGTGGAAAAACACCAGGAGAAAGGGGATAAGGAGGAAAGAGAAGAAAAATCTCAGTATTAGCAAAGCTAATAGAGTAAGTATTAAACACTGAGTTTACACACTTTGATAAACACTTCTTGAAAGGATCTGGGCAACTGAGAAGCTCTTCAAGGTAACCAGAAGACACTGGAAGGAAAAACAACCAGAATTAAAACACATATGTGCCCAGATTTAGAAAAGGCTCAATAAAAAGTTGTTTCAAGACCAGCACAGATTCACGTCTCCAGTTACATATGGGATAAAACAAATTCATTTTAGATACTGAAGAGGAAGAAAAGCTTTAGATATTCACCAAGGAATCAAGACTCAGGAAAAACTATAAAGTCTCCTATTAGGTGATACATATATTGAACAAATAAAACTAGAATACTCTAAGCTATAACAGAAAAAAACCTGTTAAAGTAAGCAAAAAAATAATGCAATAGAGATAACCTTAATAAACTTCAATTCTTCACAAAAATGAGATTAATACCAAGCTGAGAAGAGAGAAAAACAAGTTGGAGGACGATACCAAAGTTCTTAAATCATTTGTGACAAACTGGGGAGATGATCCAAAGCAAACAAGATGAAACAAGGACAAATGTGAAGTATTTCACTTCCACAAATAACCAGCACAAATAAAAGATAAACAGCTGACTAGACAGCAATTTTACAGAAGTAAAAAAATCCAAACCAAAACCCAAACTTGAAATAACCATCCTTCCCCGAAAGTACTAGAAATTCCATATGTAAGTTCTCATCGTTATTTGAACCAAGTAGAAGACGACTTATCAGAATATAAATAGAAAGCAACTTTCAGTGTATGAATAAACACTAAACTATAAAAAAATAGTATCTAAGATAATGCAGTCTAGAGGAACAGTACATTCCTCAAGTCAGTTGATTTCAAGACAGGGGAAAAGTTGGTTCATTACAAATTTGCAGATGTTTTTAGAACAGTTTCATCACTTTGGATGCACTTCCCACTATATCCTGTAGAGAATGGACCGTAACATTATCTTAACCATTAAAATGGACTACGACCCTGGAAAATACTCATAGAATAATGATATTTGGCTGTAAAGTTACCAGAGGATGACAATCTCCACAATTTTACAAGTACAATGTTTCACAGCATCCCAACTTTTAGATAACAAAAGCATCAATAAAATGAAGTTGTAATTTTAGAATGAGCACTGGCTCACTACTAAATTAGACAGAACCACTACCTAATCAAATTAGAAAATACTTTTGCTCCTACTGTAGATTAGGCTTACCCTAAGAGAACACCACTACAAAGAGGTACAATTACTGTCATCCATTAATAATTTATAAGATCCTGCACTTGTAAAGATCTCAATGTTCAGTTGTCGGTTACTCATTGCTTAGTACCACCTGTGACCATGACTTGGGAAATAGTCATTTCAACACATTTTTAATTTTTAACAGCTAAAATTAGAAAAATGTAACTCCATTTTTAGACAACTTTAAGCTCAATATAAATTTTGTGCCAGTTAGTTGATTTATGCACATAACAACTCTGATCGTGCAAGCACGTATGTAAAACAGACTGCAAAATCTGACTCAAACAACATAAATTATTTTTAATAGATTTTAATTTGTATTACCTTTTTATCACAACCTCATCAAGCTTCAGGAATACATCTCTGGCTGGTTGTTTCTGAACCAGCTACAGAAAACAAGTCATTTAGATATCTGAGTTTCAGAAAAGAAGTGACTTTAAAATGAGATATTCAGTATCTCTGACTGGAAAGGGTCTTTCAGCATCTGTGTGTGCATGAGGAAAGTTCTTACATTGTTTGTTCTTTAAATCATAATCTAAACTAGCCCACCATTTTTACTTCAGAGATTCCAGATATACCTGAACAAGTATTTCTGATGGATTCCCCCCGACGCTCCACGCAAACTGGATTCTGAATTAACAGTCTTCCTCGTCAAATACAGAAAGAACTCAAAATTTTAAGTTCTGAATTTTAACAAAGAGGGCTTTATCCAATAGATTTAAAAATAATTTTAAAAAAGCCATAAAGAAAGTTAGAAAACTAGACATCATTTACCATCTTTGTAGGTACGCACACTTGTAATGCACTTATTAAAGGCCTATCAATCAACATATCTTTTTGGAAAAAAAAACAAACTAATACCTTAATTTTTACTTTTAAATCTAAGGGTTATTCTTTAGAACCTGAAATCATTCTTGTGTTTGGTATATCTATTTCATAGGGTCCAAATAGGCATCTCCAGGATCTTTATATACCCAGACTTCCACATACTTTACCATCTTCCTGATTTTTAAGGAATTACAGATCTGACTATATCTTTACTGGAGTACCATGCTCTTAACCAAAACTATTATAGCGAGTCAAAGTTAATGCTTAGTATACGTGAATACATGCCATTCTGTAGAATTAGCCAATAAAAATGCTGAGGATAATTATTCATCAGTGGAGGAGATCAGCTCCTCAAGAATAATTCAGACAGGAAAAAAATACCCTGGAACTGGTGGAGGAGAAAAAGCAGACACCGACAACCACTGCAACTGTGTTTCATTATCAAATTTAGAAACCAGGTGTTTCCAAAAGAAACCCTGTCCTCACAGAATTACCCTAGGAAATCATACAGATAACTAATGATATAGATAAAAACAGCTATCTCTCAATATGGACTGCTGCTAAGCTATTTCAGAAGTATTGAGAGTGAAAATCAGTAGCGAACAGTCTCTCATCTCCTCTTACCTATCCCCATCAGCATAGTTCTCAAAGACACTCATATATCCACATGCACATATCTGCACTATGCATCCACTCTCAAAAGTCAGAATTGTAAGTAATTATTTCTTAAAAAACTGCACTGCAAAATGGGCACACACAAAAATTTGACAAGCCCAGGCAGTTAACGATACATCATTTTCCTTTGCTTTCCCATTACATAGGTTATCAACTCCTCATTCCTTCTTATCCAAACACTGAGAGCTTGATCTGGGCCTAGGAAAATAAAAATTACAACAACAGTTAAAGTGTATGGAAATGCAACATCTGTGACAGTAGTTTATGGAAAATTAGTTTTCTCAGTAACTTAACAGTTGATACATATGCATCCCATTCCACAGCATCACCCTTAACTAAGAGGCGCAGACAACAATAATTTATGTAGCAGCAATAAATAAGGCATGTTTCCAAGTGACTTTGTTTGAAGTATCTCCATCTGGCAGATACTGCCAGTAAAGAAAATCAGATTAGCATAAAACTGGAAGTAAGACAGTGTACAGACCTACTAAATACAGCCTAAGAACTTGATATTCCTTCCATGTAATACTTTCCAATTCTGGATGTTTTAACTACAGTTTACACCATGTACTGTTTAATCAACGTTCCTTCACAAGACCTTTATTAAATAAGCAGACTTGACATAGAGACAAAACTATCACTGAACAGCTTCCAGGATTAGATCCAAAAACTTTAAGCACACGTCAACAAACTCGTGAAAAGGCCGCTCTGGTCAAAGTCATGTTCAAAAAAAAAAAAAAGTCAACAAAAGTCAAAAAAAGTATTTAGGTGTTCAACACTACAGAATGAAGGACAACTGAGAAATCGTTAACATTTAATATTAAATTTCTGTGATGGTGACACAAAGTAGTCAGTTGAGTCACCTCTCCTATGCACCCAACCTTTTACTCTAGTTTCCCATCTTCAACTTCTCTGTCGTTATAAATGAACACTCCCGTGAACCAAAACTTCACAGAGGTTTCATCAAACCATTTTTGTATAGACGGATACATTACCATAACATCCCCAAAGCTTTATTACATCGTTCAGACTACTGTTAAGGAATCACGCTCCAGGTCGACTACAAGAGTCCTAGTCACAAAGGAAATCTCAAAGAATTCTACTAAGCTTCCATATATATGTAATCCACACCCAGGCGGCCAGGTAAGAGTCGTGTGCGCTCACATCTTAAAAAGCCAGCTTCTCTGCTGTTTGATCACACCGAATAGCATACAAACAAATATGATCTTTCAATGCAAGCAGCCACACAAGAAGCGTAAGGCTGCAAATCATCAAGCGATTTAATTTTTTTTTAATGAGCGTGCTTGTAAGCTGTTACTTTGTAACAAGTTTTTCCTGTCCAAGGCATTGCCCTAAATCATCATGATTAGCAGATTACTGCAGGGTCCATCCTGACCAAATACTCACGCTACTTTTAACGTGCCTTCGAGACTGCAGCATTTCTACTAATTTCTTAGAAATTGCATCAGCCATTCAAAACTCCTCATTTTGTACCTTATTATCAGCCTTGTATTAGGGCATAAGAGGACAATGTTATATCCAAAAACGGTACCGCTTACCCCATTGCTACAGACCCCTGTTTCCTTAATCACTTAATTCTGTGGAGAAGGTTTTTTATTATTATATTTTGCTGAAGAAAGCACTCCAACAGAGGTTACATGCATATGCCTCCATCCCTAAGCACTAAACCTCCTCTCACCCAAAAAAGAAGAAACAGCTGTATCGGGTAGACAAAAACTTCTTTTTTGGTTTAGTTTAAAACTTCGTATTCTAGTGTGCCTGAAGAAAAAAAAAAAAAAATCCATATCGAAATTTAGCAGTCTGCCAGCAGTTGGAATTTAGTAGCATGTTTTTTGATGACATACTCCAGTGCTATTTCTACTAAAAAACAGACAGTATGACTGTCACGTGTGAAGAACCCAGGGAAAACAAGTCCGTTTGTACTTGTTAACCCTTCCGCTTCGGCAGCACCAACACACCCACCTACGATACCAAGGGCCAGGCATTAACAACCTAAAACTCATCGCCATCCCTTTAGTCAGAAACGCGGGTGTTCAAACAAACAAACAAACAAAGGAGGAGGCGGATCGCACGCACTCGATGTGCGACCAGGAGGAGATCGCGCCCCAGATCAAGTGGTTTTACTTGTTATCCTTTCGGGAA